CTTGTTCGCCCAACAGTCAAATCTTGCTTTAAAGGAGTTAATTGAGGACAACCTCACAAGATCCGAAGGCGTTGAATTTCATAGCTTTGCAGATCTGTTGTAAAAAAATGTCTTAATAGATTTGTTGTTGTTTCTCTATAACATTTAAAACGGTGACCTCTAACTTTATTTTTAACAAATGTTGTTTTCTGTTATATTTATTTTGCTCATGATTTTATATAGTTGAATCATCTCTCCCCTACCCCCCTTTCTCTTTGTTCAGTCAAAGTTGTCAATCCTAGAACTTTTAAACGGTCTTCATAACTTAACAACCGAATTGATTTAACCAATTTGGTGGCTCGATACTCCACTCTTTTAATTACTTTAAAGTTTCATTTTAATTATGGGGATCAAACTGCTACTGAAAACTCTAGAAGACGTAAATTTTTTTTTTTTTTTTTTTTTTTTTTTTGTATGTATTTAGGTGCTCCCAGAAGTCCTTATGGTCTTATCACAGAGCACCGCGGGAGAGCATTTAACAGGAAGTTCACGGCTCCTTCCGTGCCAATGTCGATTGTTGGGCTAGAGCTGGCGTCGAACCTGGGACCTCTGGGTTCTGAGCCAGAACTCTAACCACTGCACCACGGCTGCTCTTCAATTCAAATATTAAAATCACATAATGTGACGTAAAACTCATATTATGTCATTTTAATATTTGGCAATCCAATATGGCAAAAGCTTACTTCACACGACCCAACATTGTCCTTCAACTTAAGATTTTTCGAAAAAAATCACTCCTAAATCTTTTGTACTTTCTGATTCATATTTTTTTGTATAATTAATATAGGGAGGGTTCTTTTTATTGTTTATTCCATAGTCCATAATTTTACATTTTTGGACATTAAACTTTAAACGCTAGTCTTCTGTCCATTTGAATGCTGCGTTTAGATATTTCTGTAGACTTAAAGAACTTTCATTAGATTACCTTGGATAGAATCTTGGTATCATCAGCAAATAATATAAATATATTGAATAATTTGTCTGGTAGTTCATTAATATATCGAATAAATATCAAGGGTCCAATACAAAGTCCTGTGGCATGCCACTAAAGACTTTAGGCCATTCAAAAACAATTTCACCAAGAACAATTCTTTGTCTTCTATTTTTTTAAAAGCTTTTTACCCATTTTAAAATTAAACCATGAATGCCATACGTATATAATTTAGCTAAGAGTCTTTGTGTGGAACAATGTCAAAAGCTTTAGTTTTTACAGTGTTAATGAAGAAATAAAGTCTAAAGTAGAGTTTCTAACAAATTTGTGTAAAATCCATGTTATT